TTGGAAAATCTAATTAAACGAAATTAGAAAAAAAAACAAACAAAGATAGAGAGAAACAGTAATTAATGATAATCCTTATTAAGAAATGTATTTTTAAAATAAAATTTAATTTTATAAAAAAAAATCGAATCAAATAAATGTTTTTTAATTTTTTATTTATAGAAATTTTAAATTTTAATTATTTAATTTAATTGAAAAAAAAATTATTATAATTATAAGTAGCGAACAAATATTTATTGTCAGACCAAATATAGTTACAACCAGAAAATGATTTATTTGAACCAAATAAAATATAATTCTGTTAAATAAACGTATATTTGTCTCAGAGCTTACTAACTTATTATATATAATATAATATAATATAATATAATATAATATAATATAATATAATATAATATATTATATTATATATTATACTTATTATACTTAGCGTAAATAAAAATTTTATTTGTCAGAAATAAATTTTTCTTTGGCACAAATAAATTTTTTATTTCAATGAAATAAAATATATTTTCAACAAATAAATGAGTTTTAGTATAGGCTCGGAGACAAATATATACCATTTCTCTGAGTGTATAACTAAGTAGTAAAAGACATTTTAAGTCCCACAGGAAAAATTAGTAATTAAGATAATTTCAAAATTTTTACTTTAAAATTATAATTACTTATTTTTAACTGAATTTTCAGTGAAAATAAACATAATTGAAAAAAAAACTATTTTAATTGTTCTAATTTGGCAAATTACTCCGCTAATTGAGAATTCAAATCACAGCGAAACTTCAACTTCTGACCATTTTATTGTAATTGTGTGAATTTACACGTGTGTTTACATTATGTCAGGGGAAAATTAACGATTACCACAAATGTTCCAGGGACAATGAATCTTCCTGTAAAGTGTAGCGAGCAAAGTCCCTATTATTATATATATATATATATCAGTCATTGTCTATTTTCTTTAGTATTTACTCTCAACTTTCTCAATTTTATAAAAAAAAATAAAATAATAATTTAATTAGCAATCAGTAACTAATTTTTAATAAAAAATAATTTAAGTTAATATAATTAGAACAATGAAAATATAATTAACATAAAAAAATAGTATTTGAAATAAAGAATTCGTGCCAAATTCTAATATTTGTGAATCATATTATTATTATTATAAAGTGAATGAGAAAATTTAATTTAATGGAGTGACGATTTGGCAGAGAAAATCTCTCAGTTTTTGTTTGAATTAATTTTATAGTGCGGTGTATATCAAATAAAAAATTATTATAGCAATAATTTTTCTCTATATATAAGGAATTGATTATTATTAACGATCATCACAGAACTTTTCATTCAATTAAATTAGTATTAAATTTTTTTTTTTTTTGGTTTTGAATTTATCTTTAAGTAATATTAAGAAAAAAAAATGTGTTTTTTTAAAAACTAACGAATTAGTAAAATTTTACTAATTAGTAAAAGTAACAGCTAACTTCAAAGTCTTAAAGTGATACTAAAAAATATCAAATTGTTCCAAAATATATCAATTTCGTAGTATTGGTATTTATTGGTTTATTTGATAATTTTTATATTAATTTAATATTTTTGGTATATTAATTTCGTACTTTTGGTATCAATTTGATAATTTTTATATTAATTTAATAATTTTCGTATTAATTTTGTACTTTTGGTATCAATTTGGTAATTTTTATATTAATTTAATAATTTTCGTATTAATTTCGTACTTTTGGTATCAATTTGATGATTTTTATATTAATTTAATATTTTTCGTATTAATTTTGTACTTTTGGTATCAATTTGGTAATTTTTATATTAATTTAATATTTTTCGTATTAATTTCATACTTTTGGTATCAATTTGCTGATTTTTATATTAATTAAATATTTTTGGTATTAATTTCGTACTTTTGGTATCAATTTTGTACTTTTGGTATCAATTTGGTAATTTTTATATTAATTTAATAATTTTCGTATTAATTTCGTACTTTTGGTATCAATTTGATGATTTTTATATTAATTAAATATTTTTGGTATTAATTTCGTACTTTTGGTATCAATTTTGTACTTTTTGTATCAATTTGGTAATTTTTATATTAATTTAATAATTTTCGTATTAATTTCGTACTTTTGGTATCAATTTGCTGATTTTTATATTAATTAAATATTTTTGGTATTAATTTACGTAATTTTTGTATCAAATTAATATTTTTTTATATTATTAATTTGGTTTGAAATAAGTTGACAATTAGGAAAAAAAAAAAAAATTCGAATTTTTCCTTCTCTGGGATCGTTCAACTATAATTCATTTCCATTAGGAAAAAGGAAACTTGCTGACCTTTGATCCCATAAGGAGGTGAATGTGAACAAAGAAAAAAGACAGAAAATGCGGGTTGAAGTGTGAGTTTAGATGGTATATAAGACGAAGCGATAAAAGACAAAGACAAAGAGAGAGAGAGAGAGAGAGAAAAGTTTACCTTCTCTGTTCTATTACGTTTGTTACTCGCCAATGTCCTATACGTTAACGTATATTGACTCAATTCTATACAGAAAAAAAAAAATTCTCAATTATTTTTTCCACGCAATTTGAAACTTTTTTTCTGTAATTTGTTTTTTTTTCAAAAAGTATGTTTTAAGCCTCATACTTTTGAAAGAACTTTTTTTTTTTTCTTTAAAATGACTGGGATCAAAAACTTTTCGTTTTCCTGGTGATTGACCTACTTACACTGAAAAAATATATTAAACTTTTTAAATTGTTTTGTCCTATACACACTTTAAATTCATACACGCAGTTAAAGAAAAAAAAAAAACAGAAAAATAAAATTCAAAATCTTTATAAATAAAAAATTAATTCTTAATACAGAATTTTTATAATAATTTCCATATCTTTAACTAGAGAGAAACAGAAAAAAAGTCTCTTAAAATTAAATAAATAAACTGAACATATTTTTTTAATAATTGGTTATTTGTCAAAAAAAAAAAATATATTTTTCGTAATTTTTAGTGACTATAATGAAAGATATTTTGTTTTATTTTTTTGTTTTTATTTGCGTTCGCTTCAAAAGTCGAAGGAAAATAGCTTTAAGGCTGCTTTTAGCATCTAACAAGACGGAGTAACGTCAAGACTCCTCGTTATTTTCTTTTTTTTTTTTTTTTGGACTAAAGCTGAAGAATTCAAGAGGATAAACGACAAGGTGGACCGCTTAAGGCATGCACAATGCACACATATAACGCAACCACTGCCACAAATGTTGCGATGGTAAAAAGTGCTTCTTCGAATCCTTTGAAAATACAAAATTTACAAAAAATATTCTCTTTTTTTTCCCCCTTTAAAAAATACCAAAAGAAAAACAATTTGGTTATTTAAATTGAAAAAAAAATCATTAATTATATTTATAGAGAAGAATATAAAAAAATATATACTAGTACTGAAGGATTGAAATAAAGGGGGAAAAAAAAACCAAAAAAATATTCTAGAGTTGTAAAAATATAGACGAGTGTTTAAAATTAAAATATTAACACTTGAATGTTTTAAATTTCCAAGTTTAAAATTTAAAAAAACCAAATTTTTATTTTTTGCATTATTTTTAAAGGGAAATTTTTTTTTTAACGCGAATTTAAAATATTCTTACTCTCACTGCTTTCAATGCACTCTGAAGAAATTGTATCTTCTGTATTACAACATTGCGACTTTTCATTATTCCCATGGTCTAAATTAGAGAGAAAAAAAATTTATTTTTTTTAATAACTTTTGGTTTTTGGTGAATTTATTTTTATTTTATCTTTGTTTTTGATCATACGAAAAAAAATGAATAAATATAACAAAATTTGATACAGTAAAAAAAATTTGATACAAATAATCGATTATGTACTTGACTACACGGAGAAAAATGGAAAAACGAATAAAGTAACTTTTACTACTTTAAAAGTAAAGTTGGACCTGTCCGAAGTTTCTGCGCATCTCTGGCAACTTTTACTCGAAAAATAGTAAAATTGACTATTTCTGTAGTAAATTTTACTGTTTCCGTAGTAATTTTTACTATTTCTGAAGTAAATTTTACTATTTTTGGAGTAAAAGTTGCCAGAGATGCGCAGAAACTTCGGACAGGTCCAATTTTACTTTTAAAGTAGTAAATGTTACTTTTTCTTTTTTTCCGTGTATTATCAAATAAATATTTACTTGAATAAATAAAAATTATTTGGTTCAAGTTAATATATTTATTATCTAAATTAGTTTTTCTATTATCAAGTAAATGATTAATTGAATCAAATAAATTTTTTTTCTATGTACAAATTAAATTTTTGATTTCTTTTCAAATTTCTACTACCTTCATTTCGAACCATAGCGAGATATTGGCAACCATAAGTTTCTCTCAAAAGTATTGGCTGAACAAACTTGATGATTGAATTCGCGGCTTTAATTCAGTTTCACTACTTGGTCGTTTCATTGCGTCGAAGAATATAATACACAGAGAGTGAGAGAGAGAGAGAAAGAGAGACTCTGTGTTAAAGACGAATCCTAAGAGAAGAAGTCGTTAAGAAACTCGAATCGTTCTTCTTACCCCCCCCCACCCCTTTTAATTACAATTGCAAGGCTTTCATTTTTAATTCAATTATATAAATATAGCTCTGAATGTAAAATACCTTATTATCCAAAACCTCTGTAAATATTTTTCACAATTATCTTTTAAATAACATTTTCCTTTTCTTTTATCAAAATTAAATTTTCATAATGCAATTTTCCAATACTAAAAAACAAAGTTTTCTTTTATAAAATGTAAAAAAAAAAAAAATAATAATTTTTAGTTAAAACTTGGATTAATTATTTCTACCTCGGTGTTGAAGAAAATTGTCGTGTCGATGTTTCAAAAGTTTTCTGAAACTTTTCTCAACAAAACAAAAAACTTTAAAAATAGAATTCAATAAACTTTTTTTCTTTTTTTATTCAACTTGCTTGATATCTTCAGTAACTTTAGTTTCCTCTAAATTTGTCTCTTGATTATTGAGTTGATTTATATTAGATTGCTCTAATGATAATGATGGCTCTACTGCAAATGCTATTTTTGATTTTTCTGATAATTTTGAATTTTTCGATTTTGGTGGAATATTTTTGGTTGTAGATTTTTTTAAATTTTTCTCCTTTTTAGCTGTAGAAAAAAATTAATTTCATCAAAAAATTACCTTCTTTTTTAAATCAATTTTTTTTTTTCAAGAGTATCACCCAGAGAAATGATTTATTTGAACCAAATAAAATATATTTGAGTTAAATAAACGTATATTTGTCTCAGAGCCTACTAACTTATTTATTTGGCGTAAATAAAAATTTTATTTGTCAGAAATAAATTTTTCTTTGGCTCAAATAAATTTTTTATTTCAATGAAATGAAATATATTTGCAACAAATAAATGAGTTAGTAGGCTCGGAGACAAATATACCATTTTTCTGAGTGTAATAAATTTATTTTGTTTAAATTAAAAGATATAAATAAAATGAAAAAAAATTTTCATATTAAGAGAAAAATGAAAGGCACCAAAAAAAAGAGAATAAAGCGAGAAAAAATAACTCATAAAATCACCCCCCCCCCCCCCTTCTTTCCACATTTCATACCACATGCAAGGCTTTATAATACTAAAGCTATAAAAAAATATACGAGAGTATAAATTGAAAAATTCATACTACGAAAACGAAAATTTCTAATAATAAATGTTAATAAATAAAAATTCCAAAAAAAATGTATAAGAAAATAAAAAAATTTTGGAAAATTATTTCCAACCTTTTGCTTGTGCTTTTAAAATGGCATCTTTTTTACAATTATCCTCCTTTGTACATCCAATAGATTGCATTTTTGTTTTTTTAATATTTATCAAATTGTTCCTGATCTAAAGAAAAATCGAAAAAAAAGTTTACGTACACTGAAAAAAGGGGTTTGGTATTGACAATCAAACATTTGATTGGTATTTAAGTAACCAAAAATTTTTTTTTTGTTGAATCAACAAAATTTTAATTATCTCAATTAAAATTTGTTTAACACAACAAAAATTAGAAAAAAAGGATTTTTATTGTCCTAATTACTGGGATAACAAAAATTTTGTTGATTCAATAAAAAAAAAAATTTGGTTGCTTATAAATACCAACCAAACGTTTGGTTGTCAATACCAAATCCTTTTTTCAATGTAGAAAAAAATAAAAAACAAAAAGTCTTGGCCATTGCATATCGGTGACATTTTCATGTTTCATGCGGTTGGCTACACTCACAAATTTTGATATCTAACTTGCCTACAGCAGTTTTGATAAAATATTTATGTCTCTCTCTCACTCTCTCTGGGGGAAAAAGTTTACAAAACTTGAAAAAAAAATCAACAACTATAAAAGAAAAATACAAATTTTTCTTGTCCTATTGTTTTTTTTTTTTTTTTTTTTTGATATGAAAAATAAAAGAAAAACGCTTTGTGACGCAAAAGAAAAACAAATCACTCGTGATATTAAAAAATAATTATTTTCCACTAGAGCCACGTTGTACAAACAGAAATATATTGAATTTTCGTTAAAGTTGGAAACAAATTTTTTTCCAATAAAGTATCAATTTCTTTCGATTGAACTGAAAATATATTATATACACATACACAAAAGTCGATATATATATATATATATATATATAGTGAGTCCCCGAAATAAATGCCGTCTGACAAGTATTGATTTTTAGTGAAGCACATATATATATATATATATATATTGGAAACGTGAAAAATAAAGAAATCTCATATACGCTCGATTAAAGGCAAAAGAAGAGAGATATTTTAATACTGTTCCTTTAAAAAAAAAATCTCTAATCAATATTAAAAAAAAAAATCGCAAAACAAAATAATAAAAAATTATTTTTTTTTATAAATCGGAATATAAAAAGATATGTGATTGATTTAAAATGTTAATTTTAACCTATTGAATTTAATCTTCATTTGAAAAAGGAAAAAAGAATTTAAAAAAAAATTTTTGCTTTTCTGTGAGAAGGTTTTGTAATTTTTATTTGAAATAAATTTTTTTTTTGAAAACAGATTTTAAATTTCTAGTTGCCCGAATGTAATATAGAAAAATTTTGCTATTTCAGAAAGAAATTTCCTCAAGTCTTTGGCTATATAGAAAACTTGCAATATTAAGCGGAATTTCTTAAAGAAGCTGACATGAAAGCCCACCCCACCCCTACCCCTCTTCTATCTCTTTTTCTCTCTCTCTCTTTCTTGAAGATTCGAGACCCATTTCTTATATATATATATATATATATACCCAAGAAATCGCTGAGGCTTTATTTAAATTTCAATTTAAATGGAAATTCATGTTTGGAGCATTGACATTTTAACGAAATTTTGCTGTCGATTTCCAAGTTTGCTTCTTTAAAACATCGATTATTCTCAAGAAGCAACTTGCAATTTGCTTGCCAGATTTTTAAAAACCCCACAAGGAATTTTTTTTTTTTTTTTTTTTTTTAATCAATTTTCTTAAAATTTAAATTTCAATGAAATCGGCCAAAAGGGGCTTCTAAAAACGATCAACCAATAGGGGGGGTGAATATATTTTTTTTCCCCCATGACGTCACTAAGTTATTACTTGTTATATGCTCTGAATTTTAATGAACATCTTTAGAGAAGAAGTAAAAGAAATAAAAAAAAAAACGAAAAGTATTTCCTACCCTAAAAAGATCTTTTTTTTTAATTAAAATAAATTTTTTCTTTTCAAATAAATTAAAGCAAAAATGTTGATATAAAAAAATAATTTGGTAAAATTAATGATAAATTTATTTTGACGGAATTAAAAAAAAATTCAGTTAATAAATATATATATATATATAATAGGAGAAAATTTATTTTTTTGGAAAACAGTGTAATTAATTAAAAAGCGTAAAATATTGCTCATTTTAGAGATCTAACGATCTTTCTCTCTCTCTCCCTTTGGAGAAACAAGATTTAAATAGACGGTCTGAAATTCACAGAGAGATGTTACGTTCAAAGAGAGGACTCATCAGTAATTCTCGGAGAGCAAGTAAACTGAATATGAATCGATATCTCAAATTTTCTTCCAACAGAAATATACCAAACAGTCGCTGTTAAATATCCAAACATAATTACCACAAAGAAACAAAAAAATTATCAATGTTTACATAAAAAAACATTAATACTAAATTTTTTAATCAAATATCTAAAAACAAATTGCGAGTAAAATCTATAATATAATTATAATTTAAAAACTAATCTATTAATTAATAATTAATCATTATTGTTAAATCATATATATTATATTACGGTATAATATAATATAATACTACGCAATAATAATAATAATAATAATAATAATAATAATATATTAAATGAATTATTAATTATTTTAATTTAATTAAAATAATTTGAATTTATACAATTCGGTCAATAATGAAAAATAAAAAAAAAAATTAATCTCTTGTTACAATTAACCAAAAATGTTGAAAATCGAATAAATTTTTTATCCCGTATTTGATACGCAATGGCCATTTTTTTTTTTTTTTAAATAAAAGAATTTTTTATTAAAGTTCATGAAATGTTAATTTATTTGAAAAATGGAGATGCGAGTGAATAATTAAAAAAATATATATATTAAATTTACATTTTTATTAATTTTCAATTATTAAAAATATAATAATTTTTATTTTGTCAAAAAAAAGGAATATTTTTTTAAAACAAATTTTTTCTACTCTCCTTGCCGTTAGCAACGCATGTGTATGTGTATGTGAAATAAAAAGCTTATGAAAATTCTTTACTTATTTCTTTAACGTACAAAATTAAATTTTCCAGTACAAAAAAAAAGGAAAAGAAAATAATATTTTTAATTTACTACTTTACTCTCAATTATTAAAGAAAAAAAAAAAAGTTCTTTTTTTTTTTGTTGATATCAGAAAAATGTAAAAATTTCTATTTTCAAAAGTTGGATAATATAACATAACTGAAATTCTTTTACTTTACCCACAAAAAGTTATCTCATATTCATATGGAAAAATTGTTTCCAAAGTTCAAAAATTTATAGTTTAACAATTTCAAAAATGGACATTTTTTTTTTTTTTGAATTATTTTCAAAATTTCTCAACAAATAACATGATTTTTTGAAAAGTCACACAAAAATTTTCAACTTTAATAAACTGAATACAGTTGAATAATAAATTTCACGATTCTTTTTTATTTTTATTTTAATAAATATTTCCATTCAATTGTTCGTGTTAAAATTTAATTAAAGTTAAAATATCTGATAGAATTATTAATTTAATTTAATATATAGACAAGTAAAATTGATAGAATTTATCAATTTAATATTTAAAAAAATGAATTTCAATCTCTAATAAAATAATTAAATTTAGTCTCTCGCAAAATTTATATAATTAAAATTGTAAAAAACCGAATTTCCAGTTCACTTAATCAAACCACATAATTATGATTTTGACAATGTTAATAAAGATAAAAAAAACAAAAAATAATAATAATAGATCAAATTTATCATAAAAAGAAATAAATTTTGAAATTTAAAAAAAATTTTAATTCGAATTTTAGTTGAGATTTCCAAATATATAAAAAAAAACAATATTTAAATAGGCATGTGAATTTTGTAATAGACAACTGCCGCACAGTGGCTCTTCTAAGGCTTTGAATAATATATTACCACCGCAGTGAATTCACCGTTTTGCGACACTTGCCCTACAGTACACACACACATATATACATATATATATATAGAGAGAGAGGCCATTATTATACCGACCATCAAGTAATAAATTAAAAATTCTAATTTTCATCACATATAAAACTATTTAACTATCATTTAACTAATATCATTTAACCTTTAAATCAAAAAATTTCACTTTCTCAATTTAATTCCAAAAAAACATTTTTTTTTGTAAATTTTTTTATCGTTATATTTTACTTGCATAAAATATAGAATTACACATTAAAAATAAGAAACTAAATCTTCAATTATATATATATATATTTATAAAAAGAGAATCAATTTTTATAGAAAGACAAAACTGAGATGTAATACATTCCTAAATTGGAAATTGGATCAGGATATCTTTTCTTAAACATAATTTTTGTTAATTATTTAAAAACAAAGCTAATTGTAAAATGGGTTTTAAATTTCATAACTTACTCACAAAACGGATTTATCATTTCTCAATGACAATTAATTTAATTTACAATTGTAATTATTCTTAATATAATAATAATTATTATTACTATTATTTTTATTATTACCGCTACTTTAATATTACTATTATTATTATTTTTTACTATTATTTTTTACTATTATTTTTTACTATTATTCTTTACTATTGTTATTATTATTATCATCCTTATTTTATAATAATTAATTGTAATTGTTATTAATTACCAACAATTGAAACTATCATTGATTACAACTACTAACAACTGAAAGTATCATTGATTGTAACAATCAGCGACTATAATTGCCATTAATTCCACCGTCGATTCTAACTATCGTTCATTATAACTATTATCGATTATAATTACATCAGAAAACATGAATGTACACAAAAAAAAATTTTTTTTTCTAATTACCCATTTTTCGAATTTTCTGACTAAATCAAAATTTTACTACTGAAACTACAGGAACTAAAGTGAAAAATAGGAAAAATGTGTCTGACTAAAAAATACTATTACCACTGATATTTCAAAAAATTACATTTCTGTCTGACAAAAATTGATTTTTACTACTACAGCTATATTAACCAAACGAAACAGATTTGTCTGACCACAACTAACTTTTACCACTGAAATTAGAATGTCTGACTGATTCAAAGTTTTACTACTGAAAATACTTAGGGGCCATTCATTAATTACGTAAGGGTTCTTAGGGGGAGGGGGGGGTTTATAAAATCTCTACATGGTCTTACGTCGGGGGATGGGGGGGGTTGAAACTATTCTTACGTAAGATTTTACCAAGTATTTTCCATTTGTATTGTTTGTAATTAATTTTTTAATTACATTAATATTGTTAAAAACTTACGTAAGAAGGGGGAGGGGGGGGGGTTCGAAAAATCTTATGTATTCTTACATGGGGGTAGGGGGGGGTCAAAATTAGCCAAAATCGTCCTTACGTAATTAATGAATGGTCCCTTACTGTATGTAGGTACTGAAGTAGAAAATCGTTACAGTCTGACTAAAACAGACTTTTACTACTAACAATAAAATTACAATAGAAAATTTGATATTTCTCGCACCGAATTCAAATTCGACTGTATAATGACAATTTTACAATTACTATAATTACCCCGTTGAGGGGAGGATGAAGTGGTTGAGGCAGGTTCTGGACATAGGACAAGAGAGAGAGAGAGAGAGAAGGTTTACTGTGCAACACAAGTAGCACTTTAAATCGGACGTGTACTCTCATATACGAAAATCCGATACAATTAGGTTCGCATGAATTTCAACTTGATTTTGCGTGAGTCTAAATTAAACGACGATTAACGTGTCTCTACTGATAAAGGCTTCTACATAAATATTATTAATTATATATATATTAATTATTATATTTTCTCTTTCAACGCAATTTTTTTTTTATTATAAATAGTAAATTATATTTACTCAGAATATATTAACAGCAAAAAAAAAATATTCTGAAAAGAAGGTATACTTGCAATCTAAATCTTTATCTAAAACAGCGATATGTTTCTCTAAACTAGCAAAAACTTATCCCTGTTTTAGGTAAATATGTATTTTAAAATATTTTCTACTTAAATTTAAACAAAATATTCTAAAATAAAATATATATTCTAAATTTCAGAATATTTTTTCACCACGTATATAAATTATAATAATTAATTAATTGTCTAGGTCATTAATTATAATTTTAATAAATGAAAGAGAAAATTTCATTTCATAAACATCTGTTTCGATATATAACGAAATAATGATTATTTTCCTCCTAAAATATTAAAATTCCATTTATTAACAAAATGTGAATATTTCGTTAAAAGAGAATTCGTATATGTATACGCAGTAAATAAATATATATTTTACATAATATAATATGTAGAATAAATAAAAAGAAAAATATGAAAAGTTAATGATACCAGAATTTGTGGTTGCAAATACCGTAATTATAATTGATGAGAGTATCATTATTAAATTATACTGCTTTAATCGATATAGCAAAATTAATACGCGCGTATATGAATTCGAAGGGGAAAAATTTATATCAAATTATTAATCACAACGAATGATATTAAAATAAAAAAAAAAATGATTTTGCTTTTAAATTAGTGTTTGTCTAGTTGTACACTCAAGATGTACTGCAGTCCTATTTACAATGGTGTATACGGTTAATTGCAATTGTTATTCATATGCAGTGGTGCGAATATTCATGTAAGCTCTCACTCACTCTATATATATATGATAGTAAAGGGAACTAAATTCATAGTTGGAGGGGTCAATGAACTGTCAAAGTTCCTGGGGAGTTGAAGGCTTACCACTACGGTTTACCTTGTCCGGCTAATATCATAAAATCAACGCAACTATATATAGCACCCACACACATGTATATGTACAGCATCCGCAGAGTAGAATCTCGTCTCCTACAATATCAGGATACAGTCTACACTCCATCCATCTCTCAACCTCACGTGGACTGTCACCATCCAATTAACCTCAGTAATCTGGCAAAGGTTGATGTCACCGAATAATCTACAGCATTACCAGATCCTTATATGAGCCTTCCTAATCTAATTGTTCTCTTGATATTTGACTAGCGGCCAATTGCCAAATCGATTCAATAAATTCTCATATATATATATAATTATAATTATTTTTTTTTAAATGTTTCTTCTTTTCAATTCATACAAAAGACACATTTTGTCTGACTGTAACTATATTTTACTACTGGAACTATGTAATTAACGGAAATTAACTGTCTGACTAAAACATACTTTTACTACTGGAGATAAAATTACAAGAATTTTGACAAAATTTTCAGTCCGGCTAAATTAAACTTTTACTTACTAAAATTATAATGTCTGACTGAATTAGACTTCTACTAAAGTAGAAACCGTTAGTCTGACTAAAAAGGGTTTTTACTACTGGAACTAAAATTACCAAAGTTTGAACTCTTCTGTCTGACTAAAACCGATTTCGACCACTAAAATTATATATTTAACTAGCAAATGCACTTTAAATTATATTGTCTAACCAAAGCATATTTTTACTACTTGAATTATAATTTAAAAAACTATAAACATTCTGTCTGACTTGAAAAGACTTTTACTACTGATATAAAAAATTTACAACTCAAAAATAGCTGTCTGACTGAAACAGACTTTCACTACTGAAACAATAATTACAAGAATGCACAAAAAATTAAAAGGCATTAAAATAAGCTGCAACGCTTATTATTTTAATCCAATTTTGCTTATTTTAATACCAAATAGATTAAAATAATAAGAGTTGCAGCTTATTTTAATGCCTTTTAATTTTTTGTGTGTGGAAAAAACGTATCACTACTGGAACTACTATTAACCCAATTTAAATAATTGTCTGACTAAAATATACTTTTACTACTGGAGATAAAATTACAAGAATTTGAGAAAATTTTCAGTCTGGCTAAATTAAACTTTTACTTACTAACATTATAATGTCTGACTAAATCAGACTTCTACTAAAGTAGAAACCGTTAGTCTGACTAAAAAGTGTTTTTACTACTGAAACTAAAATTACCAAAGTTTGAACTCTTCTGTCTGACTAAAACCGATTTCGACCACTAAAATTATATATTTAACTAGCAAATGCACTTTAAATTATATTGTCTAATCAAAGCAGATTTTTACTACTTGAATTATAATTTAAAAAACTATAAACATTCTGTCTGACTTGAAAAGACTTTTACTACTGATATAAAAAATTTACAACTCAAAAATAGCTGTCTGACTGAAACAGACTTTCACTACTGAAACAATAATTACAAGAATGCACAGAAAATTAAAATGCAATAAAATAAGCTGCAACGCTTATTATTTTAATCCAATTTTTGTTTATTTTAATACCAAAATGGATTAAAATAAGCAAAATCGGATTAAAATAATAAGCGTTGCAGCTTATTTTAATGCCTTTTAATTTTCTGTGTGTGGA